GGAGAGCCAAACCAAGAATTAGGAATAAATCCCCCTTGACATGCATTTGACTATGAAACCTCTCTTGCATTCCAGAAAGGCAGTCCAGTTACAGACAGCCCAAAAAATGAGACCTCAACCCAAAAATGCTGCAGGTCTTACTTTCTCCCACACTACATGAGGAAGGCAAAGGAAATGGCCCCTTGAGCTTGTGTGCTTTGTACATCTACTTCATACCCCTCTTACGGTGGTTTCAAGATTTGTTTAATGTTTCCCATTCATGTAAATTGGGTAAAAACATATTTTTGCACTGAATTGGAAATCTTTCACACAGAATAAGCTCCAAATGCTCAAATTGAGACAGTTTAATCTGATTATTTTCCCATGCATACGTGGGGTGAGGGCAAAAGAACAGTTCCTAGATCCCTGGTTCAAGATAGAAAGATGAATAAAATGTCTAAAAGAAAAAAAAAAAAGTTGCACAAGCAGAGCAGGATGAAGTCTTGCTTTATAAAACTCATCTCTCTTGCCAACGAGAGGGGGATTCTGTGCATTTTAGCATAGGTAACTGTTTTCAGTATGGCCCCCATTGTTTTTCATCACACGTGCACACGCTGAGCCTGAGACAGGCTAAAGCAGTGCACACACAACAGCAGCCTCCTTACGAGAGGGCAGAGGTGTCATTCCAGCCCCGAGCTCTGGTTTCTTCGGCAATAAGTAAATCAGGCTGTCCTGCAACATGACTGCTTCACTCTTTGAGAAAAATCATAGTGCTATTAAAGGTAAAATTCCTGCATCTGCATCAGGATATCTTTAAGTCACAGATGATGATGGCAAAACAGTCAGAGAAACATCATTGTGCACTTGCCCTAGTCACATACTCCCCTGTAGGCCACTGCTACTGGCCATAGACAAAGCCCATGGTCTGTACCAGTTCTTACTTATATCTTTAACAGTATTTAGTTTTCTTCACAAGTATTACTGTCTATGTGACAAGCTTAAGTTCAAAAGTCTCAGTGCCTACATGGTGGAATGGCATATGGGAGCAGACACAGCAGTTCAGTCTGTGACAAAAAATAGAAGACTAATACACAAAATAAAAAGCAAATTAATATTCTATACCCAGTCACAACAGCAGAGACTAATCAGGCTGCTAGTCCATTAGTAAAACGACAAGGTTTCACTCCAGCAGCTTTGAAGCAATAATGGGTTTTCCCATGAAAACTTGAAAGAAAAGGTGAAAAACGGTTTGCAGGGTATGATGGAAAGGAATGTCAGGCACTGCTTTGGTCAAACACTCCCATTAAGTATTTTCCCATTATCCCCTAGGTTCATTCACAGGCCAATTGCACTGGCTATTTACAAAGGAAGTTTAAGATAATGTTTACTGTTCTTTAGTGTTCTTCAATTTTCTAAGCTTACAGGAGCTTCCCTTAAAATATCCTTGTGAAAACAAAGGAAATAAAAATAAAGTTTATGGTTTATGCTTTTTCTTCACAGTAAGTTTTTTCTTTACTCACATTATATGGCTTGTAGCACTAAGATGGAATATAAGACTAAAAAAGTCTTATTTTCATTTCATAATTGAAACAAATGGTTAAAGATGCTTGTTTTCTTCAACAGTTCAGACTAAATCCATTTAACATTACAGAAACTACAGATTTACTCCTTTGATCTGATAGACACTGGTGTACTTGCACATATATGTAGTGTCTAAAAAAATCAAAAATACAAGCACTGTAATTGCATACTTAAGCACCTGATTATTTACAAAGGTAAAGAAGCAGAACAGTCACTGAAAAACTAATTGTTTTTTGAAAAAGTTGAAAACTGAGAAAGTTTCAGACAACACTGAAACATCTTCAGTTACTGCTCTTTCAGCATACTTGAGACACCATAGGGAAAAAAAATGGAAACTACTAAAGTAGTCAGAAAGCAAGTAATTAATTATGGAATTACTAAAAGATGCTTTGGTAAACCACAGGGAAGATATTAATCTATCAATTTATAGGCCAACAATCTTTCTAAAAAACAGTGCGCGTTGCTTGTAAAACAACCACCTTCATCTTTAAAATTAATTTAGTTTGCTTTTATATGTTTATATTTCTTCGAACACTGCAATCTAAGAAAAGCATGAAGAAAAAACTACTGAAAAAGCTGAAGGATACAACAGAAATACCTAGAAAAAAATATACTGCTTTTATTTTAAAACACTAAATAGTATTTTGCCTTCTTTTAGAATCATAGAATCATAGAATCCTTAGGGTTGGAAGGGACCTCTAGAGATCATCTAGTCCAACCCCCCTGCACACGCAGGGACACCTAGAGCACGTGGCACAGGACTGCGTCCAAGCGGGTTTGGAAGATCTCCAGAGAAGGAGACTCCACAACCTCTCTGGGCAGCCTGTTCCAGTGCTCTGTCACCCTCACTGTCAAGAAATTTTTCCTTAAGTTCCTGTGGAACTTTTGGTGCTTCAACTTCCGGCCATTTCCTCTAGTTCTGTCGGTGGCCACCAGTGAAAAGAGGCCAGCACCATCCTCCTCACTGCCTCCCTTGAGGTACTTCTAGACACTGATTAGATTCCCCTCTCAGCCTTCTCTTCTCCAGGCTGAACAGGCCCAGCTCCCTCAGCCTCTCCTCATAGGGCAGATGTTCCAGGCCCCTGATCATCCTTGTGGCCCTGCGCTGGACTCTCTCCAGCAGCTCCACATCCCTCTTGTACTGTGGAGCCCAGAACTGGACACTTGATACATTTAACCATTTTTCTAGATATGTAGTGTTGAAGTTGGAAGCTAGACACAGTTCAGAGAGATTATTAGTGCTGGCTTACATGAAAATTACGTCATAAGAATAGCATTTTTAACTATTGTCCTTCACCCACTATTTCCTATGTTGTTTCATTTGATGTATTACATGCAAAGCAGGTGTATGCAAAGCAGTCTTACGAACAAAGACAAATTAAAATTCAATAGTTCATATAATTTACTAGTCTTAAAAAATACTATATAACTATCAGCACCTATATACATTTTTGGCATAAAATTCTGAACCTGTTCAGGTTCAGACCTCTAATGTACTTAAATTCACAGTGCATGAGTGGATCCAGGAAAGGCAATTACTAGTCCCTAATTTTGTTGTTCCAACAATTTCCTACTGTTGTTTCTCAGCTCCTTATTTCTTCTGCCTTTTGAATTAAAAGAGCTTCAGGCCCCAATCCTGAGAATCACAGTGCATTATCTAACCACGAAGGTAAACAGACTATTTCAAAGAACTAAAAAAGAGTTTCTGAGAGATAATGACAGCCATTGATAATTAAATTCCCTTTGAAAACAGAGAAGATGGGTTGATGAAAACTAGTCCTTACCATTTACTTGCAGATTAACAAGCACCATCACTGACAAGCTTCTTATTCCTAAGATCTTAAAGTTAAAGGGAAGTTTCCATATGCTACTACTGACCTCTCCATCACAAAATGAAGATGCCAGCATGACCAAGTCCAGACACTTACCTCTAATTAGCCCATGTTCATTGTGGATATAGTTGCTAAGTTACTTGATTTCCTGTGTCTCAGAAGAGCTCTTATGAGAATCTACCTCCCACACTAACTTATGTAGTTGGTTGTTTTGATCTGTTATAAAATTTCAGAGGGGATACCGAGGCATTCACATATTGTGTCTAAAAAGGTTATAATACTTGTACCAGAAAAAAAAAATCTGTCAGAAATTCTTAAGAGCTAAGTTAATGTTTTGGTCGGGTTCATGGGTCGAACTCTGAAAACAAAATTTAGGTCATCTTTAAAGAAATGTTTTAATAAATGAAAATTCCAGTGAAAACTCAAGTACAATATAAAAAATATATTTAGAGTGTATCTGTTCAACACAGAGTTTTTGTCCCCCTTCGGCTACAAAGCCACAATCTTTCTGTTTTGACACTACTTCTGTGTTTTTGATTTTCAAGTCTGCTCCCAAAAAAATGAGTGATATAACATTCAGCCATAAGCTTATTTTGGAAGGATGAAAGGAGATCATGTAATTAGAAAAGAAAATGTGATTTGAAAAATAAATATAAATGTAAATTCAGTGCAAATGAATTCAAACAGAAACAGCTTTGCTGTGCTCTGCTAATAAAGACCACTGCACCATAAGAGGTAGGTTAAGAAAAGTGTCAAAGGAGAAAACAATATCGTGAATCACTGCAGCAGGACAAAGAATCAGTTGGTGATGGACTTGAACAACTCTTGGAAATGCTGCATACATCAGCAACTGCAACTCTCTCTGAATTTCTCTCAAGTTTCATGGTCACAGTCTATACACTTGCTTATGTGCACCACAGCAAGTTGTTTATGCGCTTATGCATAAGCATAAAGCAAGTTTTTTTGGCTTTTTTGCCTTTTTTTTTTTTTTTTTTACTCAAATATAGTGTTAAGCTTTTCCTTCAGTACAGGAAAACATATGAAATATTGAACTCACAGACTCTTTTCTAGTACAGATTCACAATTTTAGGATTTTATATTTCTATTAAAACCAGGATTTTTAGATAGAGAGTTTCCTAGTTATCCCTATCCTATTTATTTTGCCAGAAAAATGTTGTGGCTACACAAGGAAGAAGGAATAGTAAAATATATTCTATAAATTATAAGTTTGGCTACAAGAACCAGTTGGGGTTCTGTCATGACATTTTACTGTGAAAACTGGTGGACTAAATGGCGTAAATATAAGTGAATTTTCGAATCTTTGCTTCATTTTGCAGCTCTGCAAAAGATCAGAAAGAATCTGGACAAATTGTGACCCAAAGTAGGGATCTCCTAGTGCTTAAATACCTTGTTTTAACACTTCTTTTTTCTTTTAAATGAAGGAACAATAGCACTTATTCAGGGCATTCACTCTAGTAATACTTGCGCTTAAAAATGCAGTAGAAAAACTAAACTAGTGTTAATAGGTCACTATCTGCAGAGAGAAATAAAGCATATGAATGTGATTTCATTCATACTTGACTAGCGGGATAAAAAAAAAATACATACTGCATTTGTAACATCTATCTCATACAACTTCTGGAACGTCTCCCGATCAAAGAAGAAAAGCTTCCCGCTGCCACCACCTCTCTTAACAGAGGTGCCTGTGACCAGTATTTTATCGTCAGGGCTGAAACAGCAATCTGTCCTGAGGAAGAACATAAACAATCACATTGAACAAATTGATAATTAATATGTAGGAAGATATTTATAAATTACAAAAAGGCTTGCTTTTAAAGAAAGTATGTCAATAATTTTAAGACAAGGCTTAAAAAAAAATCTTTTAACATATATCAGTTAATATTTACAGTGACAGCTATGCACAGAACATGCAAACTGACAAAAACAATAACCCCATCCCACAAATCCTCTTCTTAAAAATCTCGTACACTTTTCAGCATCAGAAACAAACAAAAAGTTATTTCCAAGTCTGGCTAACATCATTCAACAAGCAAATAAATCTATCATGAAATCTGTTTTCGCTAATGATATATTCTTCAATGCTGCACAGCAGTGTGTTTATATAGTGGCCAAAAATATTTGTGTGTTTACTTTTCCTCCGTCTGTCCATGCTACAAAATAAAGTGGTTGTGTCTTTAAGATTGATCTATCCCTGACCTTCCCTCCTCAAGATCCTATTTCAAAAGCACATATTGTCCTTAGAATTGGATTAGCCTGTGCTACAACTACAAAAATGCAGGTAATAACAACAAAAATAGGAAATAGAGTACTTCTGTAATAAAACACAGTATTTAAGTCCTACAGAATTCAGTCACCACCACTTGATCATATCTTGAATTCATACCTTGCATCTTTATGCTTATGTTTACTTTTCAATTCAGCTCTATTTTTTTTATTAATCACCAATCAAAAAGGAATGAGGTTCATTTATATGTCTCATTATACATACGTGTGTCAATGAACTGGCCTCCTGAAATGTTTATAACCTAATTAGACTGGAAAAAGGCTATTAGACAAAAAATGGTATACGACAGACAGAGCTAGCTCTAAATTATGATGGAATATAGCACTGTTTTCAAAAAACTCTTAAGTCCTAAAACAACTAAGAATAAGGTCTCCTTGCCCCATTCAGGATTTAGCGAGAACTGTGAAGCAGAACATACTCCCTCCTGCTCAGCCCAACTACTGCTATTTCTACTAGCTGGAATAAATCAATGTACTTACATTGGAAAGAAGCTGGGCAACCTTTCAGCTGAATTAAGAGGCTTTTTAAATTGTCTTATATCCCATATCTTTAAAGTATCATCTCCTGTGAAGCAAAAGAGACAAAAGGCAGCAATAAGGAATTAAAGTCAAGAACTTATACACCAGCAGAAAATTTGACCCTCTAACTCAGACATAAAAGACATAGGAAAATGAAGAGAATGAGAAGGGCAGAATCATTCAAACAGGGATGGGAGGGGAAGTCATCGAAAGTGCAAAGATGAAACTTCCCACCTGATGCACCCCAGCAGACCAGGAACTTCTCAACAGCTCAACTCCATCACAGCAATCTCTCCTACCCACAACAACTACCCACATCAGAATCATATTCCTCAAACAGTAATGGCACACAAAGATGTTCTGCTTCTTTAGCAGGCAAACAGGAACAAATTACAATCTCGGTATGGAAAACAGGCCCTAGAATCAGGCAGAATTCCTTGCGGAAGGCAGAGAATGGATGAAAACGAACCACACTTGCTGTAGTGAAACCTTTTCACACCCTTCCACAACACCTTTGACCATAAAAGCCAAAATCAAGGTTAGAGTAAGACATTTATAGCAATTCTCATCTGTGATTGATAAACATGGCGTGACTCCATAGGCCAGTATATGTCAGGCTGTTTATTCCCTTCTGAAAAGTTATGACATATTAACAAAGTGTGAACAACAAAAACAAAAATGATTAGTTACTTTTTCTCAGAGATCTACATCTCTGCTGCACATTCCCCCGGGATACATATTCCTAGCACGAGATGAATCTTGAGGCCTGAGGCATCTTGCTCAGGCACCTAGACATCCCTTTGCATTCAAAACAAGTGCTGCAGCGCTTTCAGGGGTGAACAAAAAGGACTTTAAAAATATCAGGAGATTAGTTTTAGTCAAAAAGTTACAAAGTTTCCTAACCTAGCAGGAAAGGTAAGGCAAGTGACTAGTAATCTACAGACCTGCTTTCCTCTGTAGCCCAAACCTTGCCAGGAAATAATTTTCTGTTGTCTAAAAGTGTTCTGTGAACTTCCAGGGTTTGAGATTAAGAGCTTAAAAGAGGCATTGGAAATAAAACTTAAAAAAATTAACACACCATAAAAAAAAATGTTATACGCCATAACAAAGGCAACCAAGGCCAGCAGTACCCTTTACAGGGAAAGCAGTAATGTGTGGCCTCGTACATCATGTATGTTTATACTGAGGACTAGGATAACTCCTTACTACAAAATATTTTTAAGAAGTGGACAACTTAAATAAATGATGTCTAGAGCAAAGTATATTTCTGTTCGTTGTGAAGCTGAAAAATGATGAGAAAGAAAAATGTTAAGTCCCTATTTTGGGAATATCTGTTTTCTTATTGTTTCATAGTAGACTCTATCCTAAACACTTCAAAGCAAGCGGACTTGTAATACGAGCCCTGCTTTTCCCTTCCTACCCCCAACAAAAGAACACTTATCGTCTAGATGTTATATCTAATGCAGCAGCACTTTATAAATGTATGCAAAGGATACCATTTGGCCGCTTTGCAAATCTCCTGGATAGGGACAGATCTAAGGCTAGCAGCCAAGGCTGTGCTGTTCCCAATGGAATGAGCCTTGACATGATCTTCAAGCTGTAGCCCTGCCAGGCTTTTGCAGGAGAGGTGCAGTCAGACATTTAGCTACAGCTTTTCTGCTAGCAAGAAAGTGTACCATGTCGGTTTAACAAATTAGAAGAAGTTAGAAGGTCTCTAGAAAATGTGGCTGATTTCAAATCAACACTCTCTATTCCATGATGCAAAAATAATTAATAAATATTTGGAAAGGGAGAAATGCTAGTACAATGACGTGACCAGTATAGTACTTCTTTACTGTGAGGGTGACAGAGCCCTGGAACAGGCTGCCTGGGGAGGTTGTGGAGTCTCCTTCTCTGGAGATCTTTCAAACCTGCCTGGATGCCACCCTGTGCCACGTGTTCTAGGTCTGGACTAGATGATCTCAAGAGGTCCCTTCCAACCTCAACCGTTCTGTGTTTCTGTGAATTGTCAAACTTTTATCAACTTTAGAAATAACATAAGATTTGCAAAAAAGCATCTTCTAATTAAAATTTGGTGCATTCCAAATCATGCATTCTTGTTTTAGTCTAATTTGCACTAGGAATTGAAATTACTGTCTCCAAGAAAACAGACATACTAATATTCCACAACAGCAAGGATGTTTTCACTAGAGTCCTTCTATGTGTCTTGTATGCTTCTTTACAAGACATAAAGAAGATGCTGTAGTGGGTACCAATATATTTTTAACTACTTCACCCAAGGACAAAATAGTTACTTTTAAAGAAGCACACCAAGTCAGAAGTGGGGCAGTTCAGTAGGAAGAATTCAAATTCATCCTCTTTTGGATCGTTCAATATTTGTCTTGATGGCAATCCCAGAGGTTGGGAGATTTTTTCCAGTAGCATTTCAAATTACCTTTCCTATACTGTTCTTCACCATTTTAATAAGCAACATACTAATAATCAGACTCTAGCTTGATATAATCAGGCCAGAGGTAGGACTTGATACCTTAGGACTGAGCACTGGATTTACCTACTGAGCTACTAGAAAGAGAGACAGGTTAGGTATTTTGTAAATATTTGTGAGACAGGATAGGTATTTTGTATAAGGCTTATAGTGGAAATAAGGCCAGTGCACTGAGGCTACAAGTACTTTGTCTGATTTTTTCCTTTGTAGTGAATATTGACCAGGAAGACAAGTAAATGAATGCAGACAGTCACCCAGAAAGTGAAAAAGCTGCCAAAATAAAGAGGTTACCAGAAACTCATAAAGGCCAAAGTCAGCAACAACCTTCAATAAGCTCCTATTTTAAGAGAAAGTCTTGTGTTGAAAGCAAAGCTCAAGGACAGACACTCACAGACTTCTTTGGGGAATATACAGAAATATCAGAAATGAGATATTTCTTTTTCCCCTCAATACAACAAAGGAAAGGCACAGGTAACAACAAGGCTACAGAGAAAGGGAGAACCAGAACACTGTGTGTTTATAAACTAAGAGCTTTTCTGTGAAGGCCTAAACTACATGTAATGAGAGGTACCTGAAGAAGCAAAGTACACCCTTCCTGCACTCTGGTTCAGCAACAGGAGCCACAACGTAAGAACATCTGCATGAGGAGCCCCAAGCCAGGATCACGAACATTCCAAGCCAAGTGCACAACCCTTGTGGAAGGGATGGTACTAATCAGGAGCTCTCAGGAGCTTGGAAAAGCTCTCAGGATCCCAACCAATTTCAGCCACTGGAGAGATACACCAGCCTGGGCAAATTTTTAAGTATATTCTCCTCTCTATACGTATGGAAATGAAGAATACTGGAGCACTGCAAGAAGGCCATGTGTATTCCAAGCACAACAAATCAACGAATAGTTCATTGTGCTTATTACTGCTTATTAATAAATTTTTAGTGTTTGTTTGAAATGAACTTGTTTTAATTAATGAGAATCAGTTGATTTAAAACCACTGGATTTTTAAAGTGATTGTATTTACCATAAAGGGCCACTCTTCACAAAATAGGAATTCACTACATATGCTGCTGCATAACCTCTGAGTGTTCAGGACACTGCACTCAAGATGATTCAACTTTTTAAACTAAGTTTATAATTGTTTTCTGTTGCTGTAAAATATTTTGAAAAGAGAAATTCATCTAATATGTAAAAATAAATAAACAAATAAGGGGAAAAAAAAGGAAAACTATTCATGGAATTAAATAAACTAACTGTTTCATATTACAACAACAAAAACTAACTTCATATATTCTACATATGCCCAGAGGGAAAAAAAAAAAAAAAATTAAAAGCAGAACCCAAGTCCTTACTTACCTCCTCGCTGCTGAACAAAGAAAGCAATTCTCAAATACTATCTTCATTGCATTTAGAAAACATAACTTTCATGGCCACAAGTGTGTAAAAATATCACTTTCTTAAGTTTCTATCAAGTTACTACCTAATACCCAACAAGAATAAGACTGGGAACTCTCATAAGCAGCTCCTTAGCTTTCATTTTCCCTTGTGCTTACAGCTGAGCCCTGCCTCATCTCTCTCATATGTTATCCAGAATCTGCATCAGATGCAGGAGAGTCAAGCAGGCTTTCAGCAAAAGTCCCCATTCCCTAAACAACTATCTTCCCTTTGATCCCCAGCACTTGGCAGGTGTGTTCATCTAGGAAGGCTGGATCCACATCTGCTTTTACTGGTACAGATCCAAATAATACTTGCATTAGAGCACTAACCAAAAAAGACAAAATAAGGTATGAATCCTCCTCATTCTTTAGCACAGGATACATACACATTTTTTAGCGCAATCAAATATGCTGGACAAAGGTAACATTTTTAACCACACTAAGGGTCCAAATTTCTGTACAATCTTATATTTTTCAAACAATCAATCAAGATTTTACATGGCTCAGAAAAAATGTGATGGTTAGTCTGTAAATAAAAGTTTAACAAAACAGAAAATCTGAAGACATTTAAGAGGAGAAATGGCTCTCAAAAACAAGTGCTACATGCAATTAAAATATGAAAGGGTCATTTACCTGATCTATATTCATAAGCTCATCATAATCATAAGCTCATTCATAATCATTCAAATATGATTAAGCTCATATAAATGAAGTATTCAAGATAGCACTACTGAATATCCTTCACATTATTTTTTGTTGCTTCAAGACACAAACAGATTCCTCTCTATTCATATAGAGGCAGGCATGCCTGTTTGGAGCAATACCACTGGAGATTGGCACTTCACTTGACTCACCCCAGAACAGAAAGATGGATGTCTACTTTCCAAAGAGGAAAAGACTGTCATATAGTAACCATTCAGTAAGGACCAGCAAGGTCGAGGGTTCTGAGCTCAATCACTGAGGTGGGACCCACTCATCTGGCTCTGGATCCAGAAACCTGAACAACAAACAAGCCAAGTGCCCAGTCTTGGGCTCTCAAGAACAAGACAATCACCATCCTCATCTGAAAGATACGATCTGAGGAAAAAATGTTTGCAATCTTAGAAAGAGGGAACTCTCTTCCTCAGGATGAGGTGAGGGAAAAGATACAAACAACAGCGGGCTGCAGCCACCACAGAAGGGCTGCTCTGCATCAGAGCGTGTGCAGGCTATGGCATGATCTCACTTTGTCCATGCACCAAATTTGCAAGATGTCATTGCACATATGTTAGGCACTACACTGCGTCTGCATATACTGCCTGTCAGTAGGCCTGTTTATTTGGCCTTGGGGCAATGCTAATGCATACACATAGCTTCTGGTTACAGCTGGTTTCCATCCCGGCAGCTTGGATTGCATGCTTGCACCTGCCAGCAAAATACGGGCTAGCCAAACCTCTGGATTGAAAGTTACCTTGAGCACACACACCTTTGCAGTGGGTTATTAATGCTAGTTAAGAAAACAGATGAAGAACTGGGCAATATAAACAGTATGGTTCTCTTAAAATAATCCTTGACTACTGTAAAAATGCTGTTTCATGAGCATAATATTGAATGGAGTATCATAATAGAAAGGAATTTGAGACACACTTCCGGTTTAAGTCACCAATAACTTATTTTGCTATCTTACCACCATCAAGAACAAGTACATTAAATGATTATATGTTTTAAATAGCTTGTTTAATGAACCATTTACTTTAGTAAAAGTTAAGATCATTTCTGCATTCAACACATCAAAGAGTTTCTTTCATCACCTACCTCCCCGGCTGGCAAGGGCGGTACCATCATAGGAAAATGCCAGGCATGAAGTGTCAGTGCCAGGGGCATGGGCTTGCCTGCAGTGGAATTTGGTATGTACCTGTTTATCAAACAAATAAAACGTTTAGAAGTTTGCTTGCTTCCATACTGCCTAAATATTTCTTTATGGCATTTTGTGTACTTTGCTGCTATTAGTAAATTTAAGAACCACCCCAATTTTAAGGTTATCAGGTAGAGAAGTTACATATCTCTACGAACTTTTAAAAATCTCATGTATGCATCATAACAGTCTTTCATACCAAGAAGAGTTTGAATGCAAAATTTAAGTTTTTCATAAATCCAGTTATACAATCCCCTGAAAATTCCCACTAATGCTGAGTAAAGGTAGTTATGCCTGGTTAAGATAAATATACATTTTGAGACAGGTCTCATAACCCCCCCAAGCAAACTTGTACTTTAAAAATGCCAAATACATCATACATACTTTGGAAAGGACTTAAAAGAACAATTGGAAAAATTTACTTTTGGCACTTTTTAACCTTGCCAAAATTCATGGGTTATAGATTTAGAACAAAGCTCAGATATTCTGAGGTTTTTGTTCCATTTAGCTGCAGTAAAATTCAAATTTAGAAATGCCTTTTTTTTTTTTAATTATAATCTCCTGGTAATTCTAGAGAAATACAGAAAATACTTTCAGATTGCATCTTACACTGAATAGACTTTCTATATATTAAGTCACAGTTTGTCAAATTCCTAAAAAATAAAAATAAATAAATGCACCCAAACACACACACATGCGCACACACACACGCAAATAAAGACTAATAAATGCAAATACCACATGAAATCACAGCATTTTTGCAAAACACAGCTTTTCTGCTTCCTAATCAAAAAATCAAAAATTTAGACTAAGATATGAAGACATTTTTCTGTCTTCACACAAAGTTTGTTAATTCAACCATTCTTCACTTTTACTTCGCAGTTATATCATTTATTTTTCATGATTAATGGAGACTCCCATTACTTAATACTTAAAAATCAGCAACATGTTTAATGAATGCCAAATGTTTCTAAACTTTGCACGTATTTTGTTTCAATATTTTGCAAAACACTGAGGGCTTCCATTGAAAACTCAGGTAAACTAGACCAAAACATAAGATTAGATTATCGCAAATGTACTCTGCACAGACTCCTGAAAACCTCCCGAGAAGCCCATTCTGGATATTCAAACTCCTTAACTTACATTTATAGCTCCACCGTGAACAAGAGCAAACAACCACATCCGTGTCAGGGATGGGGAAGGTCAACATGACTGATACTAAAGGGGGCAGGAGTCTAGTTTGACTGATACTAAAGGGGGCAGGAGTCTAGTTTGACTGGAGAGGGAAAAAAAAGGTGAAACCAATGGCAGGGAAAAATCAGATTGTGGCTAGGAGCACAGGGAAACTGAGAAGTGAAAGACATTATTGCATTTCAGAGAAAGCACATGAGATAACAAATGTGACAAGAACCGATGGGACAGGACTGAAACATTGTAAAGGAAAACGAGAATTAAATAGACACAAAGAGTATTTCAGTATATGGGGAAATTTTGAGATTGCATAACAAACCCAGAAAAGTGGGGATAAAGGAAGGACCCGGAAGGGATAAACTGGAACCACATGGGTATCCAGGAGCCAAGAGGGAACAGAGTCTAAGACAAGGGAAGAGATGACAAAAAATCCAAACGGAAACAGAAATTGGAGGGACTGTGCCGGAAGGGGGAGCAGAGATTCCTATAAAGAATTTGAGACAGGCTGGGTTCTTTTAGCTATCTAGGAAACTGACATTTTGTCTCTTGTCCTCTTTTCTTAAGATAAAATATTGTAGTTGGAAAATCAAGACTTAAAGGTTGCCTGTGCCTGTAAGATTAAAACAAGTCATTCAATTCACAAAGAGGAGGAAGACAAATTAGTGACCTCACAGTCAAAGGACTTTTTTTAATCATGATGATGAGCAAAACAGAAAACAACAGGTACATGCTTTTAGAGAAGGGTTTGAACAGTGTGCAGTAAGTCAGATCTGGAATCATACACCAAACAGCAAAAGGACAAATTCTAAACAACTGCTTACTCAAGAGAATACTGTTGTTTTAATTATTTATAAAAGAAATAATTCTGCAGAAATAAACAAACAAAAAAACAAGGTAGGATGTGATCAAATAATGCAAATGCAGAGAAAACTGAATTAAGTTTGCACAGGAAACATCATTAATTGTTTCTCTTAATTTATGACTACACACCTCAGTGAGATGCTCTTAATGAGCTATTTTGTATGCAGAAGACCCAAGCTACAAAAGTAATTGTTGTTGTTTACCCATTCAAATATCTGTTCTAAATTTGCTCCAAAATATAGAACATCTCTGTGTGTTATGACATTTCAGTAATGACTGTAAACTTATTGGGGTGTGCAGATTTAGTTAGGTTGTGAAAGGAGTCACATAGGTCATACATTCCAGAAATGACCCTGCAGAAAACATAAAAGGATGTAAAACTTTAAGTAAATGCATCTCACAGGGAGGGAACATGTAATAACCTTGATTTATCCACAGCACTTGTTTTGAGACCAAGTTTTGAAATAACTGTCACTTCTAACCAGTTATACACATCCTGGAGAAATTCTATGAACAGACTGTAAGCAGAACTAAGTCTGTGCTGGGGACTGTTTTTAAATACTAAGAAATATATTTTATGCATCCAATTACAAAAAATTTTCCAAATATGTGATAACATGTGGAGGATAAAGTGTCAATTAGTTATGAGAAAATAAATATTCTGCAATATTTATTAAACACTAAAAGTAATTAAAGTGAGGCATTTTCTCTTTATAAATTGCAATGTGGATACAGAAGCATCATAAACAATTAATAAACCTAAATGCAGACAAGAAAGACCAAAATACTATATTCAGCTATTTCAAATGAAAAATGAACTGGGAAAATTTAGTTTATACTCCACAACACTTGCCCAGTCAACACTGCCACCTCCTCCCGCGAACATCACATGTATTAAAATAATTTCTTTTTTAGTTTTTTTAGTTTTGCTGAGCAGCCTACAGCAAATTTCATTCTGGTCAATCGGAAATTCTCTCCCTTTTCTTTTGTTTTCTATAGAAACCGAAATAAGGAAATGATTTGTGGTCAACAAACAAACAAACAAACAAACATTTTCTTTGTTGTTTTACTACTAAAAACATGCAGTAAATCACACACCATTTCAGGAGTTTTGCTTCACCTTACTTTCATTTCTCTGCCTTTCTCTGGTAAGAGGTATAAATTATATTTAACATGAATTTATGAATTAACCTAAACTTCATATCTCCAGAAATAAATAGCTCACCTGAAAAATGTCACTCACTTTTCAATGAAGTGTTTACACTTACAACTCCTACCCAGGTGTCTCATGAAAAGAGAAACAGAAAGATACAGATGCCCAATACTCAGACATTATTTGTCTCCCAATCATAGAAAAAGGAAACAGTAGAACAAATTTATCCATCTTAGATGCTTCAGAAATTCAGGTAAATTAAGGCACTTCTAAAAGGCACCATAAGATTGCATCAGCAGTCCTGTTTGACTTTGAAAATAAATTCACTCAGTTTACCAGTGAGAAGGTTGTTTGCCTAACTTTGAGCTCTGCAAGCTTGCCCTCCATGTATTATCTTGCAAAGGAATATAACCCTGAATTGTAATACTAAATCAAATATTCTAAAATGATTGAAGGTTGAGCAAGAAGTTTTTACACTCACTGGCAAATATTTGATGCAGTTTTCAAAGAAAATAATGCGTTTGGCCTCTGGCCTCTTAACATATTTAACTGATGTCTAATCTTGCTAACAAATCATTGGCAAAAAAAATGTTATCAGAACATTTCTTGCTGGAAAGACATGAAACAAAAAATGCTAATGTACACATTTCAGAAGTTTGAGTCAGGGAGGGAGAGAGCATTGAGCTATTAGATAAAAAGATAAATTAGGATAAAGTGTACTCACATTTTGCCCCTTATCTCTCTCCCTTCATTGCAAAGGTGCCCACTATTACAGAACACTATTAATATGCCATGCAAAATTTTTCAAGTTCATCACTCCTTAATAATTTTAAAATTATTAGGTATTCCTGCAGTTTCTGTAGTAACACCCTGTCTTTTGAAACTTGTTTGAAAGCATTCTAGCAAGGAACTCCACCAATGTAAACACTTTCTAGTTTTGTATTAGCACATCTGTTTTTATTAAGCAATTACAGCTGACTGGACTTGTGGGCGACATGAAATGATGGGCAGAAAACATGCAGTACATGTGAGAAAGTGGGCAGTTTCAAGAAGTATGAAAAAAAAAAACCTGGGATAGCAGAAGAATATGAAAGTTTGCAATAGTCTTAGCAGAAAGAACAAGAGCCAGAAGATAAAAGGAAGCCAGAGATTAAGAAAAAGCAAGCTACACGATTAGAGCATCATTAATAAATATGCTTTGTACAGCAATTCTGGGTGGATTGAAGCAGAGCCATGTGGGAAATGAAGGAGACTAGAGCTGGATGTGGTGTTTATCACAACCTAATGACCTAAATCACAGCCACATAGTTAAGGTTCTACATCACACAAGCTCCTCCTATTCCCCAGTCTCCTAAAAAAGACATTTTCAGTGAAATGCATAATAGAGACCTAGGCAGTCTGCTAACCTTCAATATCTAAGCCACCTCTGTGGGAAAAATATATTTAACTAATGAAACTTCTCAACTTTGCACATTGTTTCGAGGATACAATGCTTACTACGGACAATTGACACTTTATCTAATGCTTTTATTTAACAAGACATCTATGTCCCAGACAAGCCATCCTTCTTCCTTCTGCTCACTAACATCTTCAAGATGATTTTAAAAGCAGAGGCAGTAAAAGGTGGGCAGCGGGGAAAGTGAAATCTGTTAAATAGTGACAAAGCTTCTGCTATAGCCAGCTTTCTCTTCTGTACATATACAATGAAATTTACTCACTTATTCAAATTTATTTTATTCTACTTAATATCATCTGTAAATACAATAAGGTACACAACTACCATCCTGTCCAGTCA